CACCCCGGGATCCCTTATGGGCGCTGGTTCTAATCCTGGCAGCTCCACTTCCCATCCAGCTCCATGCTTGTGGCCTGGGGAAGGCAGTTGAGGATGGCCTAAAGCTTTGGGATCCTGCACCTGTGTGGGAGACCCAGAGGAAGCTCCTGGTTCCTTGCTTCAGCTCAGTGCAGCCCTGACTGTTGCGATCACTTGGGGAGTGAATCATGGGACAGAATATCTTCCTACTCACACCTACTCAGAGTGGTGCATTCTTACTAAATGCTTTACTTGTATGTATTTATTTCTCTCTAGCCTTCCACGGGATAAGTTGGATTTTCACCCTTATATACTGAGAGCAAAGCAGTCAGAGGTGTGTTGGACTCATGTTAGATCTAGGCCAGGTGTTTGACAATACTTTTGAGCTGATCTAAGTTATAGTTAACCTCTTCCTTTCATCTTGGATCAATGCATTCATTCATTTAGAAAACAAACAACAGCTCATTATAGTAATCTCTTCAATATACACAGGAGATGGGTTCTAGGACCAGTAAAGAAACCAGATGTGGAGATGTTCAAGTCCAGTTATAAAACAGCACAGTATTTGTATATAACCTGTGCTTGTCCTTCAGTATTGTTTCAATTGCGTTTAGATGACTTACGATACCTAATAGTCCGAAGATGGCATGTGAACAACAGCTACACGCTATGATTTAGAGGAAAAAATACAGAAAAAATGTCTTTACCTTTTTAGTACAGGTGCACTTCTTTTCAAATATTTCAATCTACAGTTGATTGAAAAGAAGAAATTAGAACCTATGGCTTTGGAGCAGCACTCTCTAACTTTGTGCAAGCCAGGAATGCAGCCGTTGTCCTTGGGACTTGTGCTTTGCCAACTGCCTTTTGTAGTGCAGCTGTGAAGGGGCTAATCTCTTTAGACTGACCACAGATTTTAGTTTTGTGTGTTCTGTTAAGAAACTGCAGGAGATGAAACAAGGTAATGTGATCTTCCTACGTCTTAGTTTCTTTGTGCAACACTGAAGATAATCGTGTCAAAGACAGCTTATGGTTAAGTTTTGAATAAAAACCTAGGTAAAGTCTAAGAACAGGGCTTAAACATGTGTATGTACATATATGCAAACACGAAAAGGTAGACATTAAACACTGACCCTCATTCCCCCCCCCCGCCCCAACACACGCTTGCTTGCTGGGAAGCTGCCTTTAGGTGTCTTAACACACAAACAACCCATTGTATCATTTACCTGCTTGTTGCATAGCAACTTGCTATAAAGTGAAAGCTGTCTTTACTAAAATCTCCTGAGCTAACTTTTAATGGTCTTGGATAAGCCAGATAAAACTAGCCTATAGCCAAAATTGTTTGTATGTCCAGTATTAATTCAGGCTGGCTGGAAGATTACCTTGTGGTTCTTTATAAGGTGACATGACATATTCTGGTCATATTTTAGCAGCCATCTTTGACCATGTGACACATGCACTAGTATGGTCTACTGATGCACATGATCAAGGAACTCCCCATCCTGTTTACGCTGCACCTACCATGTCCCTTCACTTTATTGTGACCCATTTGCCTTAAGTATGTAAGTTCCTGAACTCTGTACTGAATAGGGAGATAGGTGTCAGCTCTGTTGTTACTTGCCAATCCCCTTACGACTTTCTAATATTAACATTCCTATTTCTCCAAAAATTTACCAACATCTTAGTAGTAGAATGAAAATGCATGGGCCTGGCATTCAACAATGGAAATATAGAAATAGATGTCTATGCATACAAGTATTAATATCAAATGGTTATGCACGGGCATAAAGCCAGAGCAGTTCCATAATGAACATACAGTTTACATTCAGATGTTATTTGCCCAAGAACTACTCGGCGATCAAGGACACTCGGCTGCTTTGTCAGCCATGAGGCATAAATACCAACGTGAATTAAAAAAATAAAAAGCAGGGATAAAGCACATCACTGCCACACCGAGAAAGAGCAGTGTCATCCTGCACAGCATGGGAGACTGTGTCCACGGGGCTGGTGCTCAGTACCTCTGATGTCACACACACTGCTGGGGGATTGGGGCAGGTGACCTTGTTCTTTCTATTGGTGTTTTGTAGTCAGACATTTTGAAGTTCTGTCTTTTTATTTTCTTTTTAAAAAATGTTATTTACTTTATTATTTTATGATGCAGTTCCCTGGGCTCTGTGATTTCCCTTCTCTTCTCACCAAAGCCCTCCCTACCAATGATGTCCCCCAAGTCATTACAATAGTAGAATCCATCAATTAATCAGATATAAGTCCATGATTCTGCTAAAGTGTATCCTGACATTGTACGTACGCACAATTGCACAGACTCCAGAACACTATTGTCAAGATACATTTAACAGTTTCATTGAGAGTCATCTTGGATTTGAAAACAGAGATTCACACTGCATTGTATCTTCACATCTGGGTATGATAGTCTTTGTTACACAGTTGCTACACATCCCCTTAAATGAAAAGCCATAAAACAAAATCAAAACAGGAAGAAAAATAGAAAATTGAAAACAACATGAAATTAAATAACATGCTACTGAAGGACTAATGTGTTGCTGAAGAAATGAAAAAGAAAATGAAAATCCTCTTGAAGCAAACAGTGCTACTGTGTGACCTATGAGAATGAAGAAATTGATAAGAAAAAAAACACAGTTTTTAAGAAGTAAAAATAAAAACAAAAATGTGAAACCTCCTGAGATGTAACAAAAACAGTATTGAAAGGGCTATTGATCCTGTATTTTGCATGAAGGCTGCCTTATATTAGAAAGAACATACAACATATTTTCTGTCTTTCTATAAAGGAAAAAAGAACCAATGAGAATTGACCTGAAGCCTTTCTATGTATACATATCTATATCTATCTATATGTACATATTTTTCCCTAGTTTATTTGAAATGACATGGGAGACTCTTGACTTACCTGGAAATGCAGTGTTGCATTAAATAACGCATTTACCTCAGGGACAAGGCCTGATTCAGTTTTATTTTCCATAAAGTACCTTATCAGATATGTGAATTCAATAAGTTTTCTTTAATTGTGTATTGACAGAAGAGTGGGTTATTAAGAAATTGAAAAACAACAGGCTGTTACATGATTGAAACTAGCTTTAGTTACATTATCTTTAATACTATTTTCTCTTGTCCAGATAAGCATGGATTATGGATTATTGATAGAATATCAGAGTGAAGTAGCAGGGTAATAGTCAGTTGACATTGTGGATCCCTTAGAATTATGGGCAGTATTATCTGAAATGTCTTGACTTCCTCACTTTGAAAGTAATAACAGCAACAACAACAACAACAACATTTGTTAAAGCATGAAGTTGTTAGCCACGGTATGCTTTCATCACCCTCATTCTATTCTGTTACTGAGTAACTCTGGGTTCCAAGTAACTGAAGATCTTCATGCTGCTTCAATTTCTAAAAAGTAATTTGAGAGTGTTTGACCAAAGTGGGAAAGAGGAAGAGACACCCCAGAGACAGTTCTTTGAAAAAACAAACTTTAAGGTCACATTATTATCTTTTACTACAACTGAATAAAACATTTTTGGAAATTTAAGTCTATCAGAGAAATGAGATCACTTCCAAGTGTGGAAACTAAAAAAAATGGTAAAAGCAACAGTTAAGAGAAATCATTGTCATGACCAATATTCTGGGCATGTCACTGTCATCATTTTGATATATATTAATTTTGGTGTTTAATATTGATGAGTTCAGAGCCAGCACTATGGCATATGAGGTAAAGCTGTTGGCTGTAATGCTGACATTCTGTATGGGTGCCTGTTTGTGTCTCAGCTGCTCCACTTTTCATTCAGCTTCCGACTGATGGCACAGGAAAGGCAGCAAGAGGTGGCAAAGTGCTTGGGACTCTGTTACCTGTGTAGAAGACTCAGCCAACGCTCCTGGTCCTGAGCTTGTGGCTACTGTGACCATTGTGGGCATCTGGGAAGTGAGCAAGCAGATGGAGGAGCTCTCTCCTCTCTATTGCTTTCAAATAAAAATGAATAAATAAATAATTTTTGGTGACTGCATATTGATTAATAAAGCCAAGATTTTCCATTTTGTCTGAATTTATAATATTTGCATTTTATTGTTTTATTTTAAAATAACTTTAAATTTCATATTCACATTGGCTTAATAATGCCTTAAGGCATATGAACCTTAAACTTTGGATAAAGTAAAGGCTCATACTATCTTTAGCTATTAACAAATAGCCTGGTAGGAGACCAATACAAAAAGCAGTAGAATAATTCTTCCTTACCAACCAAGTTATTCTCTCTGTTGGAACATTTTATATTTGATTGCAGAATGTGACATAGTTTAATCAGGTCTATTTTTTATGTCATTATCAAGGTTTTTGTTTTGTTTTGTTTTTTTTGAGCTTTGTGTTTATTAGTTTTGCTTCAGGGAAGAACAATTCCTACATTCCTCTCTGAAAGTTTTAAGATATCTTACTCTGCTACTTTCATTTTTTTTTTAAGATTTATTTATTTTTATTGGAAAGGCAGATGTACAGAGAGGAGAAGAGACAGAGAGGAAGATCTTCTGTCTGATGATTTACTCCCCAAGTGAGCGCAATGGCCGGTGCTGCACCAATGCAAAGCCAGGAGCCAGGAACTTCCTCCAGGTCTCCCATATGGGTGCAGGGTCCCAAGGCTTTGGCCTGTCCTCGACTGCTTTCCCGGGCCACAGCAGGGAGCTAGGTAGCAAGTGGAACAGCCAGGGCACAAACTGGCATTCATATAGTATTCCAGCACTTGCAAGGCGAAGATTTAGCCTCTTCACCACCATGCTGGGTACAAAGCAATGTTACTTTAACTATATGCTGTTGCACTATAGAGCTCATGTTTAAAAATGTATTCCTGTTGCTGTTCTTGTTTTGTTTTTTGTTTTTCCTCTCACTATTGAGAAATCACCAGGACCAAGAACTTGGCTTTCCATTTCATGTCCTTCTGTTGTGTCTACTTTTCTCCCCACAGACTGCAGGGATAGGGGAGAGCCTGGATCATTCACTGCAGAATCTCAAAACATATCCTCCACTCAATACACTTATCCTGGGAAGAGACAAGCAGACTTAAGTGATCTAATCAACAGGTGTGTATAACAACATCTCAATTCTTAGAGAGTTCTGAATTTAGACTTGCTTTGGCTTTATCATTTGAGGCTGTTCTAGATACCAGAATTGTTTGGCATCTTCATCTGTTTCCTCTGGCCTGGCCATCGCACAATACCTGGCCTATGCACTTTCTTTTTTTTTTTTTTTTTTTTTTTTTTTTTTTTTTATTGTTGCTTACACTGTATTGTGTAGTACAGTTTTATAGGCGCTGGGGATTCCCCCCACCCCTCCCCATACCCCTCCCCCCATGGTGGATTCCTCCACCTTGTTGCATAACCATAGTTCAAGTTCAGTTGAGATTCATTGCTTGCAAACACATGCCTAGCATAAAGTTCAGCGTCTTATTGTCCAGATAAGTTCAGTGGCCTCCTGGGGAGACCTTCTATGGTCTGAAGATAGGTCTAACAGAGTAAAGATCCGGTCGGTTAAAAGCCCCAACAAGGCCTCAGTATCAATATACAACATTATGGAATTAATTGACATAGTATTGGGTAAACAATATGTTAAAAATAATGCAAGTTCCATTCTTCGAAACATCTGGGTTGGGACAGCATCAATGACACGTTCAAAAAAATAACAAACAACCAAACAATAAATTACAGGTTAAATCAAGGCGAACATGTGGTATCTAATCTTTTGGGATTCACTCATTTCCCTTAGCATTATAGTTTCCAGTTGTGCCCATTTAGCCACAAAGAACTGCATTTTGTTTTTTTTAACAGCTGAGTAGTATTCCATGGAGTAGATGAACCAAAGCTTTCTTATCCAATCTTCTATTGATGGGCATTTCGGTTGCTTCCATGTTTTTGCAATTACTGATTGTGCTGCAATGAACATGGGGATGCATGTTGGTTTGTCGTAAAACAGGTGTTTTGGATATATTCCTAGGAGTGCTATTGCTGGGTCATATGGCATGCAGATTCCGAGTTGTTTGAGTGTTCTCCAGACTGATTTCCATAAAGGCTGTACCAATTTGCAGCTCCACCAGCAGTGGAGTAGGGTTCCCTTTTCCCCGCATCCTCGCCAGCAAGCGTCTATGCACTTTCTAAACAGGAGTTTCCAGTTGTGGAGGCTCAGGAGTATGGTCCTGGTGTTTAGTGAGCTCTAGTGAGAGCCTCTGTCTGCATCATGACATGGTAGATGACAGACTGGCTAGAGATCACATGGTAAGTCAAAGAGCATGAGGGATTCACAGGATTGGATCCTTCTATTTATAACAACTGACTCCAGGTATGTAACAAGAATCCCACGATAGAATCCCTGGTGACTTCGCACTGGACGCAGACTCTCATGGCTCCCACCACCTGTTAGCACTACCCTACAGGGAAGCAAGTTTCCAGCACTATAAACTTTTGCAGATATCCTGACATCATATGTAAACAAAAACAACGTATTTACATCTATGATTAACAGAAAGGGAAAACTGAAAATTCTGTAGTATGTTTGGGTTCAATTTTACTCTGGAAGAGCATAATGGAGCATCCTTGCCAATAGATTTTGCTCAATAAAATAAAGAAAATTGTACACCATAAATTATATTTTGATCCCTTAAATCACATTATGAGTAGAGATTTTTAAGGTTTTATTGTGATACTATGAAACAGCATACTGTTTATATAAAAAGTAATCATATATCATATTTACCAAAACAGTTGACTTTTACAATCAGGGCCTAAGTTGTGACTAAAATGGAATGTGTTTTTAACTCTTCAAAAAATTCTAGCTTTATTCCCTTGAATTATCTTATGGTTATTTTTTTTAATAAAAACAAACACTAGCTTGATGTGTATTTACCTCATTTGCTATAAATGTTTTATTGTTTTAAATGTTTAAATGTCTAAATGTGAGCTTTGAGCCAGAAAGACAGAGGCAAGGATATATTTCCCTCCTACAGGATAGTTCCAAGATTCCCCCAGTGCTGGTGTTAGGTCAGCGCTGGCGCCATGGGGTTGAAGATGCAATGTAAGTCTCTCCCACAGATACACAGGAAGCCAGTTATCTAAGCCGTGCTGTCACCACTGTCTTGCATCCTTACATTGGCAGGAAGCTAGACTCAAGAGACGGATTTAGGAGTCAGGCCCAGACCATGCTGATGTGGGCTGTGGGCTTCTCAACAATTGAGTAACTGCCTCCTCTTACTCTTTGTGTATTCACTGAGAAAAGAAATTGCATCAGAAATGAAACAGCCAAGAGTAGAACTGGTGCTCCTGTGTAACCTGCCAGCAAAACCACAATCAACTCAGCACACTATGCCATAATACTGCCTAAAGCTTTCCTTTAACAGTCCTCTTTATTCACTTTTAATCATAAAATGAGCCTGCCTTTCAAGACACTGTGCAATAATTAAAGTTAGGGCAACTTAATTTATATTTTTTCTTTTCTTACTAACAATATCCCAACTTTCACATCTTCAATAGTTTTAAATGCAGAAAAATCCATAGTGTCTATTTTTTTAAAAGATACCCTCCCTAACTGTCCTTTTGAAACCTCTCTTTTTCCTGTACGTCTTCTAAACGTGATTCTATCAGACTTTAAATGATCTTACAGCAGTAGTGGTCAGGAGCAAGGATTCTTGTTTTGTTGTAATGTTCAGTGGCATCCTAGATTAGTAATTTGGTGGCTGCCCACTGGGGGCACAACAACAACCTTCTAAAATGCAGCATTCTCATCTCAAGGATGGTCAATGTGTTCATGCACTTTTGAGTGATTTTTGCGACATACTGTGCTCTCTCGCATTCACACTTTTGCCTGGTAGAGAGCAGCTGCCACCTGCTAGGAACCTGAGGTTGATAAAAAACAGGTTTCTCTTTAAACTTCTTGACCTACCCAGGTTCTCTGCCCAAAGAAAAAAGTTTTGCATTTTAATTTATTTGTTTATTCATTAATTCATTAATTTCTTGGAGAAAAAAAATTGTGAATTTATTCTTCCTACTATGAAATTTCTTGTTTTTTCTAAAATCAAGAATAAAACAAGACAGAATATTTTTTAATGAAAGAACCCATTTTTCTTGACAACTTAGGTAATTTTCCCTTGTGTTAATAGTATTATTTTCACAAAAATTGTTGCTTTTATTGTGAAAAAGGGTAAACTAAGAATATCAATAGTTGTTACGCTGAAACTTCATTCTTTTAAGTATAGGTGATTCTCCCCACTCACATACTGTACTCACATAAGAATACAGGTAACTCTTAGGTCTGAACACATTTTGTAATTTTCTGAGATAGCGTATAGTACTTTTTAATGTTTAAAATATATTTTACATGCTGTCAACATCTTTATTTCAATTTGTTAATTTTTATTTTGTGAAAGCAATTGAAATTAGACCTATCCTCTTAGCATATTTTAAATGTATAGTAACATATTGATTATCTAGTAATCTATCAGTAATATTTGGGTTCTTTCTATATTTCGGTGCTGCTGAATTTTACCACAGTGAACATGATATGCAGATATGTCTTTGGGGATCTTAATTGCAAGTCTTTTGGACAAATACAGAAAAGTCAGATTTGTGTTAAATATATCTCGGCAATAGAAAGCTGGACTTTCTACCGTTGTCTATATCTACAGTGTCTTGATTCACTTAGATAGCAGAATGCCGGATGTGACTGTTGCTGACGGATCATACTATCGTAGTATAGGAGAAGTCAGTGTGGGGGAGGGAAGGAGAAATGCAGAGGGTGGAATGTGAAATCCATGCACCTATTTAACTGTATCATGAAAAATAAATTTTTAAAAAAATACATTTAAAAAGTACAGGACTGAAAAAAGTTTCAACTGCTAGGCAATTTATAGTCAATCTCTCTTACTGCCTCTTTCCTTTGGGCTGTCATTCTGATTTGCGAATAAAGACATAAATCTTTAAAAACATTAATTATATCTCAATGAAGCATACAAATGCAGTCTTGTTGATACCGATCTAATGTTGTACTTGCTTTTCTTCCTAATGTACACATGGTTTGTTTGGCTTGTGTATTGATGTCTTTTCTGAGATAATGTGAGAAGTCTGATTATAACATCATTGTATTCTACATAAGTTCTATCGATCCATCCATCTTAACAGAAAAACAAATGTAAAAGAGGTACCCAATGCATACTCACTGAACAGTGAAATCCATCGAGGATCTGATGTTATAGCACCAGTAACTCACACGTGCCTGTACTTGATATTTAAATCTTGTTTACATCCACATACACTCATCCAGGCTTCTTTGATCAGGCACTGGTGAATTGCAGCATAGAATAATATTAAAATAAATATATCCATCATCTTCATCACTATTATAAAATTCTTACAATTCTGACCAACACTTGTAACTTAGATTCAATTTTAGAACAGAACTGCCAAGAAGATTGGCTCATGCCCATTGCGGATTCACTGGGCCTCCAGTCAAGTAATATTTGTGACCAAGCCACTGCTTTTGATAACTTCTGTGCTTTTCCAATATTTACCTTTTCTCAACTCCTTTTCTGATATAAGCTCCATAATATGTCTTTGATTTTGAAATTGTTTTATCAAGACACAGGATGTGTCTTATTCAACAAAAGAAAATGTATTTCAAATAGAACAAAGCAGAACAATATTGAAAGTCACAAGGGTTCCGTCCCAAGGATCAACTTTTCAAAAATTTCAAACACAGTATTGAAAACTTGAGACACAAATACTGTGACAGATAAATTAGAAATCTGTGTAAATGGATTTTAGCAGTGCATCCCATTTGCAGATGTATGGAACTTCGTTTTGTTTTTCCCCAACTAGTTTGTCACCTCTGCTTTCTAAGAGCTTCAGTTAAGCTCTAAAAAACGTATCAAATGCAATGTGAGGCATTTTTATTTCATTTTATTATCAACAAACCTGAGCTGCTTTGCATCAGACTTAAGATTAGATTTTTGTCAGACATGAGATAATCTTCATTTACTTCTTGCCATGCATGTGTAATACAACAAGCAAGTTTCCACCTGGGTACTGTATCTTAGGTAATGTGTAATTTGTCACTGAGTTTTCACCATGTAAAGTGGAATGTACAATTTATTAGCAGAAGATTCACTTTGAGATATAAATACTATGTCAACTACATATGACATATATACAATATGACATTCTGTTTCCTGCGTCAGAAATGCTTTCTTATCATTTTAAATAAATTACATGAAGCAGATGTGACATGCTAGATTGTCCTCTCATGGGTTATTTAACTTTAATTTCTAATTCTAGTCATACTCTATCATGGTACTAATCACAATGATTGTATAATCTGAATGTCTAAGGAATATTCACTGATTTTAAAAAACTCCCCATGCAATTTTATTTCTCAGCACTTTGTTTACTTCTTGTGTTTATAGGCAAACAGATAACTTGTCTGTGGATGGAGACACTACAAATGTGACACTTAGGGGAAAAACAAATTTTGCTCAGGATTTCAGTCGCTTTGCAGTGGAAATTTAAAATACCATCACAGAACGTAAAGATCAGGTTTGTTTTTTCCCAGGTAACATGTTCTCATTGTAAAGACAAGAATAACTATATTTGAGTAATCTATCTGTAACTCCTCCAAGTTGTAGCACAAACCTTGGACAACAACCACATTTGCAGAATAGTTCATAAAGCTAATAGAAAAAAAATTGAAATTTGTGCGTAATTTTTCATAATGTGCATTTTTCCATGATTTTTAAACTCCTATTGCATGGATAAGCTTTTTGATCAGTGGAAACTTGTGTTTTAATTATCTTTTGAGAGTCAAAGAAGTGAGACAGAGAACTCCCCATTTAGTAGTTCATTCCCTGAAATCTGGGAGTAGTCCAGTGCTGAAGTCAGGAGTCAGCAGTTCAGTTCATGTCATCCATATGATGGAAGGATTCTGATTATTTGAATCATTAGTGGTCCTTCATATGATCTGAATTAACAGGAAAGTGGAGTCAGTAGCTAGACTCAGCCACCAAACCGAGGCATTTTGTTGTGTCCTCTTTTTCTTTAACTAAAATCCTAAAAAAAAATTAATATTTTTTAATTTTTTAATTATTTATTTTTATTTATTTAATTTTCATGTCATAGGCTCTGGGATTCCCCCATCCCTTCCCCATGACCTCCCGCCATGATGGATTACTCCATATTGTTGCAGTATTACAGTTCAAATCCAGTCATGGTTCCTATGTTGCAAGCATGTACCATTCATAGAGTCCAGCATCCAGCATTTTATTGTCCAGATAAATTCAACAGTTTCTTGGGGAAACCATCTCTGGTCTGAAAGCAGAGCTGGCAGAATATCATCCTGTCCAGTGAAAAGCCACAACATAATATCAACAATTTACAACATTATGGAGTTAATTGACAATGGTACTGAGTGATAAATATGTTAGAAAATGCAAGTTTTTAACCACATCCTGTGACTGCTTCATTGACATTTCAATTTTAGTTTATATACACCAGCTGCTATACACCTTACACTGAATTTGGCAGATTTATGATAGTCCCAATCCAGCTTATAACTCTAACTAGTCATATGTTAACAATTGAGGTGCAAAGCAGTTTTAGGAGGGGTGTTCAGAGAAATCTTCAATACCTTAGTGAGGAGTAACTAATCTTTGTGTGTGCTACTTAGTAAGATATATGTGAGTCCAATTTAAAATCTTAAATTCTTAACTACTAGGCGATATGTACATCTCCCCAGCTTATATTTTTTTGAAGATTTATTTATCAGAAAGAGTTACAAATGTGTGGTGGAGGAGAGGGGGAAATACAAAGGAAAGAAAGAAAGAAAAAGAAAGGAAGGAAAATGGAAGTTTCCATTTAATGTTTCATTCACAAAATTGCTCAACAGTCAGGACTGGACCAGGCCAAAAGCAAAAGCCTGGAACGCTTTCTCACTCTCCCACAAGGGGAGCAGTGACTTCAAAACTTGTACGACTTGATTCTGCTTTCTGAGGCTTATTAGGAAGGAGTAGAATTGGAAATGGAGATGTCAGATTTCAAGCCAGAACGCCTATATGATGCCAGTACAACATGTGGCAGCTTAATTAGCTACAGTACAATGCTGGTGCCCCCAAATTGTGCTTTAATTTTTTTTTTGTCTCTGAGCTTTTTCAGGTCTCCTCATGTAAGGAATTTCATTGTAGGAGGTTGGAATTTGAGGAAGAATTGCTTAGGAAATTCACAGTGATGCTAACAATTGCATGTTTTCTTTTGATGGCAATGCCTCCAGTGCTTAGGAGCTGGGGTGGCTGCAGGTGATCTGCTTGATGTCGCTGCCTTCTTCACCAGCAGATGACAGAACAGCTGTGAGTTTGGTGCTTGTCCTACCTATACAAGATGGAGAAACTTTCTAACAGTATACACACCGTGTCCACTTCTGCTCTTAATTTTTTTTAGAGTCAATGAGGCATCTCAGGGATTTCTTTTTCTTACATGACAAAGTGACACTTCAAAACAAAATCCCAGGACTCCTCCATATAATTCATTATCCTCTCAGTTGCTTTGGCTCCGACCTTCTTTTTCTCTACAATTTGGAAACGATTGAACAAAGGAGTTTGACTTAGAAATGTCAGTATGAAGGTTTTTATTCAAGAATGGAAGTCTGATTTCTTTCAAGGCATGGTGCCAAGCCATCTCCTTCTTAGATATTCATATCATTTTTTTAAACTCCCTAACATCAAAAGAGCAAGCACTGCAGGAGTCTAGGGCCAGCCCAGCATCTGCTACGAAAAAGCTCTGTCTTCATCAGTTTTCTGACCTGCACAACGTATTTAATTACTCAGAGCAAATGCCTTTTTCCAATATTCAGAGCTTTCTTGAAGATCAAATGAAATTAAATAGCAGAAGCACTTTGTGAACCGTGACCTTCTTAAACTGTTTCTGCCCCTTCAGAAGCAAACATAGATCCTCCTATTCAGAGATGTGCTATTCCCTGCTATGTGTTTGCAATTGAGGGGCTTGCCCCAGAGGAATAGCTGGCTGCAGCTGTGGTCTACATCCTACATCAATGTGCTGGTCCAGTGCAGAACTCCCATCATGCCATCACTTGCCATATTTGAATCTCAACCTGATTCTGCAGCATGCAAATCATCAGTTTTAAAAACTCACTCTTAAAATTGCTTGGAAGAGGCCCAGCATGGTAGCCTGGCTACTGAAATCTTCACTTTGCACATGCCGGGATCCCATATGGGCACCAGTTCTATTTTCAGCATCTCAACTCCCCATCCAGCTCCCTGCTTGTGACATGGGAAAGTAGTCGAGAATGGTCCAAAGCCTTGGGACCCTTTACCAGGAAGAGGCTCCAGGCTCCTGGCTTTGGGTTGGCTCATCTCTGACTGTTGTGATTGTTTGGGGAGTGAATCAATGGATGGAAGATATTGCTCTCTGTCTCTCATCTCTGTATATCTGTCTTTCCAATAAAAATAAAATAAATCTTAAAATAATACGTGGGAAACATTGCATGACCTGGACTCTGGCACCACTGAATCAGGCAATATTATTTCATTTGCTGTTAATTGAAAGTGTGCCAGAAAAGGGAGATGTGAGAATGAATGAAAGAGCATTCAGCACTGGGTTAGAGAATGTAAGCCCCAGAAATTCTGACATTGTTTCATCCACCATATAATCAACTATTTTTTCACTTATTCTTTTCGTATATAGCTGGAGTCAATCAATCCATCCATTCAGATTGGTTTACATACTGACTGTAATATTTTTGTCTTTGATATGCCCTTCAGAGAATAAAGCATCCTAGACACTCAATGGCAGTAGATGCCCTTCTGAGTGCCCAAACAACTTCCACTGTTAGCATCTATCAGTAAACTCACCAAGATAACTTTTTTTCATCCACTGAAGTGTTTGTCTCTTCCCACTCAATTGAACTTTCCTATTGCCTTGGGCTATTTCATTGGAAGATTCTAAGTGTTTGATGCTTATTCATGCTTTAAAACAATATTTTTTTCTGCTTTTTTTTGTGTGTATCATGAGAAGTTAGCTCTGGATTATCAGTAGTGTGAGGGGGAGCAATAGACTGAGCAAGGCTGAAAGAGTGAGATTACATGTCCTAAAGTTTAATACACAGGTAGCTGGGCCACAGAGCAGGTAAGAGGTTACTTTGCAAACACTGAATGACCGTGTATATCTTTTAGCTACTGATAATATGATCTTAGACATAGGATATCCTAAGGAATTTACTGTTTTGATTTAATAGTATATATTAAAATTATAATGACTTAAAACTCATAAACATATTTATCAGTGTTATAAAAAAACCAATACACGATTTGAAAATGAAATTATATAATTCTGTTTAAAATGCCATCAAAAAGAGGGATACTTAGGACAAAATTAACAAAAAGAAGATCATTAACCCTGATTCGTATGAAACACAGACAGAATGGGAAAGTAATCCATGGAAGATTTTATATTGTTAAGATAACTTTTGTAACTGTGTAACTCCAAAATCTATTATGTCATGCCCTGAATCCTAATATGACAGATTGTCACTGTGTATGTACTTTGGACCTCTAAAGAGCTAGATAAATTTACAGGAAGCCCTTTTCTTGACCAAACTATCAAGTCTGTGGTATTTTGTTATGTTAGTCCTAGCGTATCAATATATCATTTTTACAGAAATGGAAAAATCAAGGCCAGGATCTAGGAGAATAATTGAGAGGTGAAGTGTGACTGCATTGTGGAACATCCTGTCTGGCTCAGGGGCCCGAGCATTTTGTTCCTTTGAGGCCTTCTTTGACTCCATGAGGCTCACTGGCATTTATAGGGCAATCTGTGCTACCCAAAATTATTAATTTTATCCAAAATTATCCTCCAAGTTGACACATGAAATTACTTGTCATAGTGTTTTGATAGGTGTATGGCTTCAACATTCAATCACCTGTTTCTGGTAAACAGATCTTGGTACCACATGTCATTTAATCATTAATTCTTAGATTCCAGCAAAGTGGCTGCCCTGTAGCCCAGTTCTTCAGCTGCATCACCGATCTTCAGTTTGTCTAATTTTCCTTGTTGTAAGGATGGGAATGACGATGGGATGTGAGCCTTTTACATGTTGCAGCTAAAGCTAGACTTCATTATTTTTCTGGAGACAGACACATTTATTTGTATGTTAAGCTGAGGAAACCAGAGATGTGTCGAACAGAGGCTCACACTTCTTGTTAGAGAGATAGCTCTGCAGATTTATTGGTGGTGAACATCTTGAGATGAATCTTAAGAAGACAAAATAAGAGTATTGAGTTTTCTTTTTTTAAAAAAAGATATACTTTACTTTTATCGGAAAGGCAGATATACAGAGAGGAGAGACAGAGAGAAAGATCTTCCGACCGATGATTCACTCCCCAAGTGAGCACAACGGCCGATACTATGCCAATCCGAAGCCAGGAGCCTCTTCCGTGTCTCCCACACCGGGTCTCCCACGCGGGTGCAGGGTCCCAAAGCTTTGGGCCGTCCTTGACTGCTTTCCCGGGCCACAGGCAGGGAGCTGGATG